TTTACTTTTTCATGATGCTAATGAACATGCTTATAAAGTTTTTTTGTACTTGTTGACAGTTTACTTTTTCATGATGCTAATGAACATGCTTATAAAGTTTTTTGTAATTATTGACAGTTTACTTTTTCATGATGCTAATGAACATGCTTATAAAGTTTTTTTTTGTAATTGTTCAACAACGAAATGCCTATTTACCTTCTTTGCATTCATTGACGTCCTCGGTACAATCGTTTCCCTGAAATCCGCTAGGGCACGAACATCGGTAGCTTCCATCTGTTGGATTAGTATTACAGATAGCACCGGAGTGACACGGGTTGCTCGCACATGCGTCGTCCAGGTGACACAATAACCCTGATAAAAAAAAACGCAGTTTTATTTCATTAAATACATCTTTCTTGGGAGACCACTTTCATTAGTATTCTTCATATAGTTGATTAAATTTTTCCCAACACTTATCTTGGACAAAGGGGTCCTCTTAGGATATTTTGGAACTGCTTTAATCCCTTGCACTATTATTTTGTTTAAGTGATACACAACATTAATATGTCAAAAATGTGGGATTCCCACATATTTAACATTACGGTGCCATTATGTCATTTGAAATGATGGTAGTACTAGTCATTAGGCTACTGGGCCTTGGGTTCAAATCCTTCCAGGGAAACTGTTGATTTGTATATAATGTATTTGGTATCATGACTTGGGTTCAAATCCTTCCAGGGAAACTGTTGATTTGTATATAATGTATTTGGTATCATGACTTGGGTTCAAATCCTTCCAGGGAAACTGTTGATTTGTATATAATGTATTTGGTATCGTGACTTGGGTTCAAATCCTTCCAGGGAAACTGTTGATTTGTATCATTCAATTAACGGGCATCCGGTGGAGTACGTGCAACTTAGTGTGAAATATGGCATAAAGAGGAAATATAAAAAACATCACATAGAATATAGAATAAATTTCTAAATGTTCTTAACTATATAATGATAAATATAATACTTAGAAGTTTGTTCAGTGTATCTAGAATACAAGTACAACAAAACCTACCTGTTTTCCCAGGAGCACATTGACAAAAAAACGATCCAACACGGTCATGACAGGTGGCGCCATTGAAACACGCTGCGCCTGCGCAGTCGTCAATATTTTCACTGCAGTCAATCCCAGTCCAACCATTGACACAAATACAAGAGTAACCGCCAACTGTATTTGTACAGGTAGCCCCATTTTTGCATACACTGGGTTTTAATGCACACTCGTCAACATCTTTACTGCAATACGGTCCTGCAGAAAAAAATTAAATAAAAAATTTACTGAAACTTCAATAAAACATTGGAATTTCGTTAACAAACTAAACATTTCAAACTACTTCGATATTCATATTAATATTTCCGGGAAAAGGGGGTAAAATAAAATAGTACCCCAACCGCAAAACAAAGGTTTCTTTTTTTTAACAATATCATGTCGATTTGTTTAATAATTTCCTGTGAAAATGTGTGAAAACCTGCTTCATGAAACCGGTAATCATGTAATCTATACATTTGGAAATATCACTGATGCGGAACGTCAAAACAGAATAGAAAACAATACCTGTGTAATTTGGCGGGCACTGACATGTGTAGCTGTTGACTCCATCGATACAGGTGGCGCCATTTTGACATAAGTTACCAGGGCAGTCATCAATATTTATATCACAGTTGGTACCCGTGAAACCTATAATAAATACAAACATAAATATGATATCACAGTTGGTACCCGTGAAACCGAAAATAAATACAAACGTAAATATGATATCACAGTTGGTACCCGTGAAACCGAAAATAAATACAAACGTAAATATGATATCACAGTTGGTACCCGTGAAACCGAAAATAAATACAAACATAAATATGATATCACAGTTGGTACCCGTGAAACCGAAAATAAATACAAACATACATATGATATCACAGTTGGTACCCGTGAAACCTAAAATAAATACAAACATAAATATGATATCACAGTT